TTGGAGCAGACATATTGCCTTTTTTCCGTATTATGTTTCTAAGTTGAGATTTATGCATCTGAAGCCAATTTGTTGGCTGGAAGGTTTTTTGTTGTGTTGTGTTGTTGTCAGTTCTGGGGTTTGAACTCAAGACTTTATACTTGCTAGGCAGGTGCTCTATCACTTGAGCCACACCCTAGCACAAGGTTAGAAGTTTTAATCATTTGTAATTGTTCAGTTGAAATAGTTTGTGTGGTTAGACAGGACTGTGTAGTAGCCAGTTTGAAGTGCTATTTCTTACTACAGGACTGGGGTATATAGCTCAGCAGCCAAGCATTTTCCCAATGCTTAGGGCACTGGGCTTGATCCTAGGACTGCTCACATCAAGGTAAACTAGCTGGAGTCTCTTATTGAAGGGTCAGTTGTCTGCTTCTGGGCTACTTTTGCTGTAGAGGCTTCTCTTCTCTTCATTTCTTTTTTTTTTTTTTTATTTGGGAGCTGCTGTTGGCTCCAGGAAGCTCTACAGCCTGTGGTCTGGGTTAGTTCCCATTTACTCCATACACCCCTCCCCACCAGTTTATGTCTCCAGAGAAACCAGTTGTTCACCCTTCAGGGTGATCCCTGAATCCATTAAAGAGTAAGGAGAGCTAAAGAGCACTGAGTTTTGCACAGGCTGGGCAAGACTGATGCCTGTGCCTCAATGCTAACAGATTAAGTCCAGCATTTCACCTCCACTCATGAATGAAAAGACTGTGGAAGTTTTGTGATTCAGAAGTTCACTTTGACCCTTAGTCTGGTCAGCAGACACATGCCAGGATGCAGTTCCCAGGGTCAGGTCTCAGTGCTTTAATGTGCCTGATATTTAATCTTCCTGTTTGGGGAAGGAGGCTTTGGGATTTATGTGTTTTTGTGAGTTTGAGCACAGAGCTCTGGGGTATCCAGAAGTAAACCAACAGCTAGGAGGCAGGCCGTGGAGGCTGAATATGAAGCCAGCTTCATGCTCAGCGCTTTGTTCCAACTTAGCCTAAGGTAAAGGGACTCACACCTGTCTAGGAAGGATGAGGCCTCCAACCACCAGAGTGCCCTACTCTGCTTGCAGAGTTCCTCACAGTTTGAACTTACCTACGTGGTATCAAACCTACTCCCCATCCTTGCCCAACTCTCTTGGCTGTCTCCCACCCAGACTGTGCTCCAGGGTGTCCTAATATACCCTAAGCCATAAGTGTTCCTTGTTTTCAGACTCCCAGAGTATCTCAGTCTCAAACAATAAGCGCTTTCTCAAGGTGGTGCCTTGCTATTACCCTGCAAGTTTAGGGAAGTGACACAATGTCTTTCTTCACCAAGGTTAGCATTCCATACCTCATAAAACCCCCACAGTGGGCTTAAGGCTTGTGAGAGGTGTGGTCTTATCTTGAAGCTAGAATCTATCACTAGGGCCATCTGTTTTACCTCATGATGGTGTCTTCAGCTTCTCTTCCCTTTCCTTATAAGGTGGGGATGAGCTTAAAACTGTTTGCTGCTTTTCTTTCACATCAGGTTGTCTATGGTTTTCTGCCATCTTGTTACCTCTTTTATAACTTCTGATGCTCTTTCTCTTTCTCTTTCTCTCTTGAGAACTTAGCCTTTCCTGTGTTACCTGACTCTTCTTAGTCAGAATCAAAATGGTGGATGTTCCTAATTTGTCATCTTGTCCCAACTCCCTATCTTTATCTTTATAGTTAGGACATGTGTTATAACCAATCTAATAACCTCATCTTTTTAGTTGGAATGTTTTGTCCATCTATATGTAGTGTAGTCATTGATGTAGTTGGATTATGCCTGTCAATTTTTCATTTGGTGTCTATATATCTTGTTCCCTCCTGTCCCCCTCCCCCCTTTTTTTCATTTCTGCCTTTTTTTAGGGAGGTAAAGAGAGGTTTGTTAGATATTATTTAGAACTCCATCTTAATTTCTGTGTTGACTTTTTTGCTATAACTCTTTGTACATTTTTATTTTTAATGGTTGCTATAGGGATTTCATGCATATCCTTACCTTTTGACAGTCTGTGGATAATTAACATTGTATCACTTCACATAAAGAAACCAGGATTGGGAATGTTGTCAGTGGTAGAGTACTTGCTAGCATGTGCAAGAACCCAGATTCCCTCCCTAGCATTGAAAGAAAAAGGTGAGACACTAGTAAGCATATAGTTCTGTTTAGTATACTTCTTTATACTCTTATCTGTCATATGTTTTCACTTTATAAGTGTTGTATTTTTTTGCTTTAAATAGTCCTGAGTATCTTAAAAAATTAACACGAACAAAGAAGTGTTGATATTTATTTGCGTATATTTTACTTGCATGTATTTTCAGTGTTCTTTATTCCTTCCTCAAAGTCCAGATTTCTGTTCCCTTCAGTCTGTAGAACTTTCTTTGTCATTTCTTATAGTCCAAGTTTGGTGAAAAAGAAATTGATTTTCATTTATTTTAGTCTTACCTTTTTTTCACCTTCATTGTTAAGACTTATTTTTGCTGGATATGGAATTATGGGATGACAGTTCTTTTTGTTCCTTTCAGTTCTTTAAAAACACTGTTCCATTGTCTTCTGGCCTCTATTTTTTCTGATGAGAAATTAGTCATCTATTGTAGTGCTTTCTTACATATAATGTGGTTTTCCCCCCTCTGAAAGCTTTTAAGACTTTTCTCTTAGTATTTGGTTTTCAGTGCTTTACCATGTTGCTGCTTGAGATCCCCTGAGCTTCTTGAATTTGTAGGTATATATCTTTACGTTTTATAAATGGTTCACCTATTTTTCATAGATTCCTAGTGCTTTTATTTTCAAGATTCTTTTTCTTCTCTGCAATTCAAAGTGGACAGTTTGTGCTTATCTAACTTCATACTCACCAATAATTTCTTTTTAAAAAATTTTTTAATTGTTGTGCTAAGTGGGGGTACATTGTGGCCTTTATAAAATTTCTTACCAATATGTCATACTTGAATTCACCCCTTCCATCATTCTCCTTTACCTCTCCCTTCCTCCCTTTGCCCTCCCCCTGTTCCTGGAGTAGTTCTAACAGGGCTCATTTTTCCATTTACATACATGAGTACATAGTATTTCCTACTATATTCACCCTCCTACATCCTATCCCCACATCTACCCCCTCCCACTGGTACCAACTCCCCAGGCAGGACCTGTTCTGCTCTCCTGTTTTCTGTTATTATAAAAAACAAAATTACATTTTTGTTTGTTTAAGATAGCTATTTGGGGAGTTTCCTTGTGATATTTCCTTGTATATATGTATTATAACCCAAATTGGTTCATCTCCTCTATTTTTCTTCTTTCCACCTTAGTCCCTTGCTTATGGTGATTTCAACAGGTTTTAAAATTCTTTAGTCATGTCCTATTTGCTAGAAAGCATACTTGTGAATTTTATTTCTACCCAATGATGTTTTTCTAGGTCTAGCATATCTATTTATTCTTTTATTATTTTTATATACATTTCTATTCTGAGAGTTCTTAACTCTTCATTGAGGGTAAATATAGTTTGTGTTTCATCCTTAAAGATATTTTAAATTATTGCCCAAAATCCCATCTCTGTTTCCAACATTTGGGTCATGTCAGGGTCAGTCTATTTTGTAATAGTGAACAGTTTCAGAGAAGTTATGCCCATGGTCTCTAACCTGAATCTACTGGCCCCAGATCCCTTGTGATTTCCTTTGCATTGTTTTCTCTCCACACCTGTCCTAGAACTTCAAGGGAAATGTATCATTTGGGAGAAGGAATGTGGATAAGTAAATGGATTTTCTGGCTAAATTATTATTGCTGTAATGTGCATAAGAATCTGTGATTCAGTCTGGAAGCTATTTTTCTGTGATTCTCCTTATTTGTGCTTCCCGCATAGCTGGGATGGCAGAGACCTGCCACCACATCCAACCATTGGTTGATATGGGGTCTCACAAACTTTTTGCCTGGGCTGGCTTTGAACCACAGTCTTCCCAATCACTGCCTCCTGAGTAGGTCAGATTACAGATCCGAGCCACCATGTCTGGCATGTTATGCTCTTATAGTTGAGAAAACTTAAGACATAGAGGTAAGTGAGTTGTCCAAGGTCACAAGGTTAAAAGGTAACAGAACTGATATTTAGACTCAGTCTGACACTAGAGCCCATATCCACTTGTCTTGCTTCTGATTCTGGCATCCTAGCTTTTGAACAATCTATGTGGTGATTAGATGTGCTTTTCCCCTTCTGACCCTGCAGACACTGATCATAGTTCATGCCATTTCTCCCATGCAGCCTTAGAACTCTTCTCAACCCAGTGCCCAGGAAGTTGCTACTCATCCTCAGTCACTAATAGATGGATCCTATTTGCCACCCAAGTAGATCAATATCTCTAATGATCCTTGTGCTTTTAATTCATTGTCCAAAATGGATTTATATTAGAATGACATAAGTTAAGCAGGTGCAAATTATTAATAACAGATTCTGAGAAAAGGGCCAGGGAAACAAATGAATGTGAGAGGAGAGTGAAGAAAATTTAGAAGGAGCTTAGGGAGTTGGAAGCATACAGCTTCCTCTTGCTGGTCATTACCCTCACTATGCATGTTTGTCTTTGCAACTGTCAGGGTATTGTTGATGTGTGCCCTTACCCATGATGTGGGGAATTCTTGTTCTTACAACAGGATAATGTAGAATTTTTTATCCTTTGATTGTCTTCTAAAAGGTTTTAGAGTTGTACAACATTTGTTCCAAGAAATATAGAATGTTTATTTGACATAAAACATCAAAGAGACATGATAACTTTAATAGAAATTTTAAGGTAAGTTTTAGAATTACCTCTGCAAAACTACAAAATGGGAAGATGGGGAGAAGGCTAATAGATTAAGATTGTAAGGTGCTATGTACCATGTTGCTGGTGGTATTTTGTTTATTTTACCCTCAATTGCATTTCAGGTTTCCTAATGCCATGTAGTTTTCTAACAAGAAAGGAGAAGGGAACATATTTAACATCTTGTTAATACTGCTTTGGTTTTTCATTGCCCAGATTTTTAAGGAGGAGAAATACCTGAAAGAGGCTATGGAGTGCAGTGATGTGATTTGGCAGCGAGGTCTGCTTCGGAAGGGTTATGGGATCTGCCATGGGACTGCTGGGAATGGCTACTCTTTCCTGTCCCTTTACCATCTCACACAGGACAAAAAGTACCTCTATCGAGCTTGCAAGGTGAGGACACCCCTAGTGAAACAACTTCTGAACACTCTAGAACATGTTCAGAATACAAAAACACAACTTCTCTTCCTTCTTTGTACCTGTTTCTTCCAATCTGTAGTTTCTTCTGCAACAGCCTTGTCTCTGGTCTCTCTGTACCATGGTGTCCTTGTACATAAAGTGTGGATAACAAATATAAATGACCTCTGAAGAGCACAAGCTCTAGAATCATACTGGCTGGTTACAATTACTATCTGTACTGTCTGTTAGCTTTATGACTTCAGATACATTTGTCTTCTAGCCTTAGTTTCCTCATTTGTAAAAATGGAGGAAGATTATTACTTAGACTACTAAGTATGTTCCAAGAGGAATTAATTGAGATAATGTGAGGATCATCTGCAATTGTCCCTGCTTAAAATCCTTTAATGGTTTCCCATCACACTGCAAATCAAACCTGTGCTTCTCTCCCCAAGTTTACAGAACCCTGCATTCCTTGACACTTGCCTACTTGTCCACATTCATCAATTCATCTTTTACCACTTTCTTGCCCATTACACTGCAACCACACTTGTTCTCCCTTCCTACAGAATGGAGTAAATCACACTTATGCCACTGCACTGTTATTAGCTTTTTCCTTCATCAAAAATGTTCTTTCCCCTGCAATTTGCATGACAACTACTTGTCATTTGAATTAGTTTAACTATAACATCCTTAGGAAGGGGCCTTTGGGACTACCAGAGGGAAGGGCCCATCAGTTATTCATTATATATTTTGGCTCATGTCTTGAGTGGGTTATACCAGTAAAATGAAAGCTCTGTGATCTTTCTTGTCTAGGTCACTATCCTATATCAGTGCCATAAGCAGTGTGTGGCACCAAATAGAAACATAATTAAATGTTTTCAGTATGTGAAAATGAATGGCACAAAACAAGACTCAGTAAATGCTTGCTAGTATTATTATTACTATATACATTTTACACACTGAAATTATATGTACACAGAAAAAAACATTGGAAGAAAATACACTAAAATGTTTACAAGTGGTCCTTGATAGATGGAGGCATTTTGACTGGCATGTTCTTTATACTTTTTGGACAATGAATATCTGTTACATTTGTTATGTGTTACAAGGCCTTTTCTCAATTCATATAGAATGGACTCCTCCTTGTTGGTGTCCCTGAGAATACATACATGTCTGTATGATGCCCACACTCACAGAGAGGATCAGAGGATGCTGTGAAGCTTGTAGAGAGCAGGGCCCAACTCAGTCAGGGGAGTTCAGAAAGTGATGGCCAGACCAAGACCTGAGGGCAGCTAGAAGTTAAACAAAGAGGGACAGGAAAGATGTTTAAGACAGTGAACTGTTTGTTGAGAGACATAAGGTACCCCTGGGGACCATATGAAGTTCATGGTGGTTGGAATCTTGGGGAGGGGCAGAGCAAGAATTGGAAACAGATGGGAAGCAGCAGGGTTCTACAGGCTTCATTAGCCTTTATAATATTAGATAATTAAGTAAATAGAACTTGAAAGCTTCATGAGGGTTTAAGAAACAGCCAGCTTTTCAAAGGGAATTACTCACGTGGATCAGGAAGGTTGTGGCCTATGGAGGTGGAATACATTCCTGATAGGAAGAATAGCTTCTCAGAGTCACAGAGCTAGGAAAAAGCTTAGAGATTCTGGAAACTGAACACTTCAGGGTTGTGGGATGCCATGGGAAGGACAAAGTCAAACAAGTAGACAAAGGCCAAAGAAAATTAGAGTCCTCTCTGATAGTGAGCACTTTTTCAACCTTGGTTATACCTGAGAATCTCTGGGCCCCCCACTCTAGACCAATTAAGTGAGGGAGCTCAGGCACCAATAGTTTTTAAGTTCTGCAGGTGATTTTAATAATCAGCCAGCACTGAATACTGATTTGGAAGATGGGGTCCATCTTGACATTCATCTTGTGGAAAGATCACTCAGGACCTAGTGAGAAGGATGAAGCAGAGTTTAGGTTTCTTCACACTGCTGCTTAATCATTAATGGAGAAATGTTGAGCTATACACCAACAATCTTTAGACATACATGAGATGTACAACACACAGAATTAAGTGCAGTTTTTTTTTTAAATAAGAAGAGAGAAATGTCTGAGTGTTCCCTGTTTTCTAAGAAAACCAGGTACATCAAGTAACCTAGAAAGTGAGCAAATTTGGAAAGTAGAAAGCAGACTAAGTATTATTTTACTGATTCTTAGATACAAGTGACAAAATTATGTTAGTTTAACAAAAAATGGAAGGTTGTTATGATAGAGAGAAAGAGCTGGTGGCATGACTCAAGTGGTAGAGCACCCACCTAGCAAGCACAAAGCCTTGATCTCAAATCCCGGTATCACCAAAACAAAACAAAACAAAAAACCTGTTGAAGAGACAGGGAAAGAAAGGGTCAAGGACCTCAAAGGAAATGCTGAGTGCTGAGAGTTAAGAACTGAGGCATTTTAAGATAAAAGGGATCCAGAGTTAGTACATATGGCAGTAGAGTAAGATGCTAAGGAAAGAGAAGTGAGCTGAGCTTAAGCTTATTTTCTCAGAATGCAACTGAAATTAGTGCTGGTTAAGGCAGAAGCTGCAAGTTTCCTAGCAGCAGCAAGATAGCCAGGGGGAGCCAGGAGCCATGTCTGAAGACAGTTTCAGGCTTTTTATTCAGATGGAGCAAGGATTTGGAGTTACTAAAGAAACAGGAGGCAGGAGAAGGGATAGACTTGTTGAGTTGTCACAATTTTCTATGTTTCTCCACAATGTTTTGAGGTAGATACCACCTACAGATGAGGAAACAGACAAGGAGAGGTGCCTAACTCTCCAGGTGTCAGCCTGCTGAGGAGAGGTGGCCCTGCAGTACAGTCACAAGCCATTGCTGGAAACCCTACTACTGAACCTGCCTCCTTTGATTCTTGTGAAGTCATTGCGGTATCTCATTCATTGCCTTTTCTCTAATGAAACCTCTAGTTTTAAAAAGAAATTTCTTTCTTTTTAGTTTGCAGAATGGTGTCTAGATTACGGAGCACATGGGTGCCGTATTCCTGACAGACCCTATTCCCTCTTTGAAGGTAGGAGTGAGAAACGAACTATAGATTTACACATTTAAGTGTATGAAGTTGGTTATTCTCTCTGAGGACTAGCACTAGTGCATTTGATCTAGCTTGATCAAGATTAGCTTATTGCTGAACATGGTAGAGTTTCTTTATCTTGCCTATTTTTTGTTCCTGTGAATGTCCTCCAAGTATTTTTAGATCTTTTGTGAAGTACACATGCAGACAGCACCTAGAATAAGGCTTGCTACTCAATAGTAAGTTTACTCTCTGTATTTCACTTGTAATATATTGTGTGTATAATACTAATGTTTTCAGAGAAAGCTTGAGTAGTTGTCTACATATATTTAATTCTTTATATAAAGAAGTATTAATATAACTAATTAAAAGTATCAGTAGTTAGGAAGATTAATAATTAGAAGAAATAACAAAAGTGAATATTGAAGAAAGTCTGGAAAAGAATAGTAATAACAGGACCATCAGTAAAAGCAACAATAATTAACAGTCTGCCACAGATGGACTGATAGAATATAATTCAGTAAAAAAAAAAAAAAATACAAGTTCTATAGAGAGACCTAAATATTTTTTATGTTTATGCATTTGTGTATGTTTGCTGACTAACTTGTAAGCCACAGAAATCAAAGCAAATACTAGTGTTGTGATAAATTGGTAAGTTTTAATTACTTTCAGCCACAAAGAAGTAATAAATGGAATATTTTTTTTAAATCAAGTAGATGATTATTACATTTTTTCAATGCCTTTTCTTACTAATTGATGAAATCATATTTTTTCTCCTTTAGGTTATTAATATTGTGGATTACATTGGTTCATTTTTAGATATTAAGACAATCTTGTATCTCTGGAATACACACATGGTCATACTGTATGATTCTTATACATTGCTAAATTCTACTTGCTAATGTTTTGTTAAAGATTTTTGCATCTGTATTCATGAAGAATATTGCTTTCTACTCTCCCTATTTTGCATCTTCTTTATCTGGTTTTGATAACAGGGGAATACTAACCTAATAAAGTGTGTTGAGAAGTGTCCTCTTTTTTATTTTCTAAGACAAACTGTGCATTAATTGGTGGAAAAATTGGTGTTAATTGAGTTTAAATGTTTGATAGAATTCTCTAGTAAAAATTCTTTGGTCTGGAGATTTCTTTTTCTAAAGCTTTAAAACAATTTCAATTTCTTTAATAGTTATAGGGCTCTTCAAGCTATCTTTTTTCATATTGGGTGAGTTATAGGAGTTATCAATTTTTGAGAAATTGGCCCATTTCATCCAGAATGTAAAGATGTCGCTAGTATTCCTTTGCTATTCTTTTGATATCTGAATCATCCATAGTGATATGACCTGTTTTATTTCCTGATACTGGTAATTTTTTAAATCACATACTAGAAATATGAGCATAAAATAGAATATTTGTCAGATCTTTTGGAGAATAATATCTTTTTAATATTCAAAGAAATCATAATGAAAATATTTCTCAAGATAAAAATTTTAGTTTTCTATGTCATAAAGGTGTAGTGTATTAGCTGAGCCTGGTGGCATATACGTATAATCCTAGCACTCTAGAGGCTGAGGCAGGAGATCATAAGATTGAAGCCACCCTGGGTCAAATGGTGAGACCCAGTCTCAAAAAGCAAACAAAATTCAGTGTATTCACATGACAGAGTTAATACTTGAACTCTAAAGTAAAGAACATTCAGATTTATAAAGTCAAGTTTACAGTAGCAACCTCAAAGCCCCAGAGGGTTATAGTCCTTGAATGTATAGCTCCCTAGTGGGTGGAAAGTTAATAGGTCATCTCTCTGCACTGAGCCTCACTAAGTACCTGGCATATGGAGCTAGCAGTGTGTGTGGCAGGCGAGGGAAGCCATCAGTTGCAGGTGGCTTCACCTATGACCCTCCCAGAGCCCTGACTCCTGCTAAAGGCTCTATCCAGAGGTATGGTGCTTCACTCACCAAACCTGGAAGCAAAGTTTGTTTCCATGGGCTATGGCCTCCCTAGGGCCCTCCCAAAGGCATTAGGGGGTCACTGTTTGTTTCTAATGGGTTCCAATAGGTCATTGGTTTTCAGGTTTTTAAAATAAACTTTCAGAACACTTGTTTCATATAAAACAAAACTTATAGGGAAGGCTAGAAACAATCCAAATGTCCTCTAGCAGAAAAATAGGGAAACAATTCAGTACTCAGCAATAAGAAAAACCCAACTACGAACATATACAAAACATGAATGAATCATAGAAACACTGAGTGAGTGGAGAAAACAGCCTCAGGAACCATAATTCCACAAGTTCTGAAACAAGCAAAACTCCCAAGTTGTAAAATTAACAAAACTCCTCCTATAAGGCAGTTTTGCTGGCAATTTGCTGAGGTGGGCTACAGATGGACTGCAGAGGGACACCTGAAGCTCCCCCTGGTGGTAGAACATTTCAGACCTTGACGGGTTTGTTAGGGAAGCACACTTAAGGTTTGTGAATTTGGTTGTATGTGAATTTTATGTCAAAAGAAAAACTAAGCAAAAAGAAATCCTAGGAAGGAGGAATTGTTCTGGCTGAGGTGGGGACAAGGGCCTAGTGGCCTAAGTAGAAGAGGAGCTTTCCTTACTCCCATCCTTTAGAAGCTCCCATCAGTCACATATGAAGCCTGTGGCTTAACTCCTGCCCTTATGTGGCATGGGGATTGTGATGAAGGCAAACAGCACTTGTTTGAAATTACTTTCTGAGAGCCTAAAAACAGTATATTGAGACTATAAAATCCCCGAGAGGGAAAGTTTTATGTAACAAAATACCATAGTTGGCAGTATCTTTTTTATTTCCTTTGTGTTGCTGGGGCTTGAATTCAGGACGTTGTGCATGTTAGGCAAGTGCTCTACCCCTGAGCCATACCCAGTCCTACATCCAGAGCTCTTTGATAGCTGTGCTGAAATACCTGGTTAATGCTTTAAGAAGTAAGGTGAAAGTCCCCAAGCCAGTGTTTTAAATAAACAAAATAAAGAAGAAAACCTGCTGGATGCTAACATAAGAATTTCTTTCTTAATGAAGACATTTTAAAAATTATTTACTATTATTTTTCTGGTGGTACTGGGGCTTGAACTCAGGACTTCCTGCTTGGTGGGAAGGAACTCTACCACTTGAATCACATCCCCAGTTTCCCCACCTTTTTTTTTTTCTGCTTTAGTTATTTTTCAGATAGCGTCTTGCATTTTTGCCTGGGGCTCTCCTCAGACTGTGATCCTCCTGCCTATGGTTTATTATATAGCTGGGACCACAGGCGTACATCTCCATACCTGGCTTATTAATTGAGACAGGGGTCTCACTAACTTTTTTCCTGGGCTGGCCTCAAACTGCAGTCCTATAGATTCTGCCTCCTGAGATTACAGCCACAGCACCCTGCCTAGTGAAGTCACTTTTAAATGTCTTTGGTGCCTTACCACATCTCTTTATAGCCCCTTGTAGAGGAAATAATTGAAAACTACTTTGTTTTAGATACTACCCTGTGCTGTTACTAAAAGATGCACATTTGCTTTGCAGGCATGGCTGGCGCTGTTCACTTTCTCTCCGACATCTTGGTGCCAGAGACATCAAGGTTTCCAGCATTTGAACTTGGCTCTTCAGAGAGGGATTAAAAAGGTGCAAAAAGACAACTGAAATACGCATTGGACCAAAAGCAACCAGATTGCTTAGTGCCTGACACAGAACCAGTTGTGAATATTGAAAGATAATAAAAAGCAAACACTTTCACAGACCCTCTTTTGTTGCAAAGACCCTGAAGTTAGAGCATTCCATCAACATTTTGTGACAGTGTTTCCTTCATTGGTGTAAAATATGAATTCTTCACATACAGGTTTCTTGTAGTATGCATGTTTCTTGGTGTTTGTTGTCTGTAGGGATAAGTTCTAAATGGAAAGCCCTTTTCCTCACATGAGCTCTCACCAGCTGAGCAGCAGCCACACTTTTCTGTATATAATATATAAAGGAGGGCATTGTCTCTATTGACAGACAAGGGAACAGGCAGGTGATGTCTCTTTTAAACACCAGAAAGAGAATCTAGGGTGATATCCTAGTGAGAATACTTTGTCAGCATTTTTCATAGGCACCTTTCAGAAGAGCATGAGGGAAGACCACTCTCAAAAGTGAAGAGAAACAGCAGGCAAGAGGGCATTTGCCAGAACACTTGTGGAGGGCACTGTTGCACACTGCTTCCTCTTTATGTCTTGCTGCTGCACATAGTACCTCTATTAGGGCTCCCCTTTCTCAGCAGAAGTTTCAAGAATTGTGCAAATTTCAAAGGGCTTCTTGCAGGCCAAGGCAGCCATTATCCTGGGGAATGGACTCCATGATGCCAAGAGTAACTTTTAATGACCACACAACTAAGCGTTGACAATTCTAGAACATTTACCCAGATATGTATTATTAAAAGACTCCATCTTAATTTTATCAACATGATAATTTATAAGATAGATAAAATCCAGATGGACACATGTCCCTTCAATTAAATTTATTTCAAAATGTTAGTAAGTGATCAAAGTATAAATTTGGAATTACATTCCCTACTTTTTGTCCACTTTTGGATGATAAAATTAACAGTACTAGTCTGAATTTATGTATGTGGGAAACATAATATTCTAAGCAAGAAAATTATAGCATTATCTGAGTGACCTTTTCTGATTTTTATTTTTATTTTTTGGATTAGTATATCCTCAGTAATTCTATCACGTAGATTTTGGGTTTTTTGGTCAGCATAATGTAAGTGGTCTAGGACTTTCTAAGTACATCTTGACATGTGAAGTAAGGCATGTGTCATAAAAGACAAGACAGGACTCTGGAATGGTCTAGTCCTTGATAAAGAGAACTGTGTAAGTATCGGCCCCAATTTTCACTCTTTTTGTAAAGGAGAAAATTATTATATCAATTTAGAAAACAAATCTCCTTCACAAATGTGCAGTTTTTAGGGTGTTGCTGAAACTTATTCGTGGATTTGGCACCCTAAACATCTGACCCTTTATTTCTAAATGCCCTTATTACAGACACTCTTGCTTCTGAGTCATTATTTTCTTTCTCATTATGTTGATGACTTTTCTGTTAGTCCTCATGATTATATTTTAACTGACTTTCTGGTTCTACTAATGAACTGCTCAACAGCATAGTCTAGCCCCGCCCCCCCCAATCACCTGAACCAGAATCAGCTGTCATAAACAGGCTGAGGGAAACCCAGAAGACCTTAGGTGCTATCCAATCTCATCCAACAACATATTGTCCACCTACCTCCCACTTCAAAAATGGTATGTGACAAAGCTTAGCATGAGGCCCTGCCTGTCTGACTTCTCAGGGGAAGCCCCTGGGGCTCTCTGGTGCAGCCCTTCTCTGAGTGGAGGAAGCTCATGGGGTCCTAATGCTGGCCCACGGTGTCCACGTCAGCTGGCAGTGAGGATGACTTTTGGTTATCTGGGTGTCTCTCTGTATGTGTTCACTTTTGTGCATGTTTAATAACTAGTCTTTCTGACCAAACTGCTGAGGGAAAGATAAAATACCCATAGAGTAAATGGAGGGAATTTTATTTATAATTTTTTTAAATCCAGCTGGATTGACAGCTTCCTACTTACTAGATATTAACAGGTGTGCAGTTCTGTGATTCTGCATTAACCCATATCCTTTTCTGTCTGTTATATGAGCTGCTGTATGACAAAAGCCCCAGTTCTCAATCCTTTAGAGGCAGATGAAAAATGGCATGCACTTCCCAAGGACCAAGAGTTTATAGGTTGCTGTTTAATAATTATAAATGATAATAATTTGAAATCAGATTTCAGAACATCTTACATTCGTTCTTGGATTTGTTTGTGTTCACAACTGTGTTATTTGAAACGTGTCTAAGTTTTTTAAATGTATACTTACACAGTACCATTTTGAAATCTGAAGGAAAAAAGTTGATGTCCAAAAAAGTGTTTGGGATTCTTTGGTTTAGTTAGTAAAAGACACTTTTGTGGCGGTCACTTGTGAAATCTTCATTTGTTCTCATTTCTATCTACTTGCAAATGATATGGGTTAAGAGTACTAATAACTATTCTGAAGCTTTCTTTGTGAGAAAATGTGGCAGTTGCTCCTTTTACGATGTTCTAGTTGTAGGTCTGTATACATGCACTCTTTTATTCCAAAAGTCCTTCTGAAACCTAGATGATAATGATTATAATCACATATGTTGAGTTGGATTGTGACAGGCCCTTTTATTTCATGATAATGTGGGGAGGTAGTAAGTTCTATTGTCACTTTTTTACAAATAAGAAATTGATGGACTTCCCCAGGGTCTTACAGTTAGTATGTGGATCAGCCAGGGTTCAGACCCTGGATATTCTTGCTAGTCATAATAACAATTCAATACCTCTTCCTCTATGTGTTGAGATAGAAGGTAACCTCCAGGATCCACATGGGTCTTCTTCTTTTGTTCCTGTCATCAGTGGTCTATGACCCCCAAAGGGTAAAAGTGTTAAGATTGTGGGGTAAAGAATGTACATTGGCATGTTGGGATTCTGAGCAGGAACAGAGGACAAGACAGGGGAATCTGGACTCAGGAGGTACCATGCTCACTGACATGCTCCTACAATGGAAGCTACCACCTGTATGCCCCAAATTTTCTGCTTCTGAATGTGTTGAGGGGAGCCAGTTGTCATTTCCAACTTGTCTTATCCCCGAGTACCTACCAGCTTCTACCTGCTGCCTGGTACTTGGCTGCTTGAGGAACAGGAAGTGGAGGTCCAGGCTACACAGCTTACAACCCTCTCTGAACTGGCCAATGGGCTTCTAGAAGGCTGTACTCCATTCTTTGCTCCTCCTAATTAGAACAAGGTTGTGAATTCTTTTATGTTTCAGTTTTACCAAGACTTGGGCTCCTCAGAGTTAGATCTAAGCTTTGGTGAGCTCAGATGGCTGGGACTATAATGAGATGAGTTGAGTCTGCTTCACAAGTACTACTATTACTGTTTCTCTTTGCCATCTAGAGATATGAGGGTTGAGTATCTCATCAGTATGTGTTTGTTAACACCACAGCATGCCAGGCATTGTGCTAAGCACATGTCAAGAAAAATCATGAGTTCTGTCATGCAACTCTCAGTCTTGCTTGATAAAAACTTTCTGGAGCATAGACTGAGGGCTGGTCCTTCTTTGACAGGATCCCAGATGGCTCTTATGCAGTTAGAGGTGTGGGCACTAAGCTTCTGGGTGAACAGTGTCATTCCAGGTAACAGCGAGGGATGGGGTGGGGGGGGTGAGACCAAAGACGAATTACAGTTAGCCCATGCTGGCAGAGTGATGGCTTGTGGGCATAAAGGTGAATGAGGTCCCTGCCCTCAAGAAGCAGGTGGTTTACAGAGAGGGTAAATAAGTGTTCTCATTTTATAGCTATCCCAGGGTAATATAGGTAAAGAGTAGAGGCGCTGGAATCTTGATGCTTGGGTTTGTCTCCCAGCTCAACCATTTCTTGTGTGAACATAAGCAATTTCCTAAGCCTTAGTATCTTTTCTATAAAATCAAGCCAATGATAATATCTACTGTATTTGGTTTCTGGAAGGATTAAAATGGAAAAAGCATGTAAAGGCTCTATATTGGGGAGGTGAAAATGTTGGTATATTGCTCTTATGTAGGGAAACAGGCTCATTTGCTGAAGTAGTGGGATGAAAGCCTAGTTCTCCTCAGCTTCAAAACTCCATGGTTTGCCACTTCTGGGTGTATAACCAAAAGAATCAGAATTGGTTTACTATATAGATAATTGCACACCCATGTTTATCATGGCTCTCATCACAATAGCCAAATTATGGAGTCAGCCTAGGTGCATCAGTGGATGCAAAATGTGATAAACAAAATGTGGTTTATATACATAAGAGTTAAGTACTTAAGGAGAATGACATTAAGTCATTTGCTGGAAAATGGATGAAACTGGAGATCAACATGTTAAGTGAAATAAGCTAGACTCAGAATGACAAGTATCATGTGTTTTCTCTCATTTGTGGAAGCTAGGGAAAGACAAACCAAATTTAACAAAAGAAAATAGGGGCTGGGGTTGTAGCTTGGTAGACTGCTTGCCTAGCATGTGCTAGGCCCTGATTTTGGTCCTCAGCACAGAAAAAAGGAGAAGGAAGAGAAAAGGAAAAAAAAAGTCATGAAAACAGAGAAACCACTGGAGAGATGGAAGGCGAAAGGAAAAAAAATGGAGGGTGTGTAAGAACGAGTAATAGAGGAGGTGAGAATACAATCAAAGTAGGTAGGTACATGTCTGGAAATGTCATGATGAAACCCCTTATTATGTGTAATTTATTATATTCCAATCAAAAACAAACAAAAAACATATTTCACCACAGTCTACTGCTCTGCCTGCAGCCCATAGCTTGCAGCCAGCTGTATGTGTGTGTGTGTGTGTGCACGCGTGCGCAAGCCTGTCACTGCCCCCAAGTCTTTAAATGGGAAAAAATGCCACAGAAGCAAGGATGTCCCAGCCACAATTTCAGGCTTACTCAGAATCCAAGACAGGCTGAGTTCTCAGCTCCTCTAGACTTTGTTTAGGTTGTCAGGGAGATCGTTCTGATTCCATGCCACCTCCCTCTTCCACTTCCACCTGTATAGGATAGACTTGTGACTCTTACAAGATTGCTTATCAAATGCAGTGCTGGTCACATATTGTTAAGGATTTTAGCTTGCTTTTTTAAAATATTAACCATAGGAGAATAAAACCTGCATCAAACAATGTAATCATACATTCACTCATAACATAAATATTCTTAACAGTTCCCAGAACTGACAAGGTGAGCTTTTCAAACCATTTCCTAGAGGGAGGCTTTATCAAAATTAACAAATGCTTTATGCTCGACTGCTGGGTAATAGGTATGATCCCCAGATATGAGGAAAACACCTGCACACCTTCTCCTGACAAGCAAGAGGCACCCCTCTGGTACCCCAGGAGCCCTTCCAGAGGCTGCTGGTGCCAGAAAAAGGACTGTGTGTCTGCAGCACACTCTCCCTCATCTCCTCTGAGGTAAGTGTGGAGATCTCGCATGCCTGAAAGATGTCTTTACTCTGCCCAGATACTTAAATCATATTTTCATTGTTTGTAGAATTCTTCATTGGATATCCCTTTCCTACTGGGATTTCAAAGCATTGTACTATCTTCAAGCATATAGTGTTGTCCCTGAGAATTTCATAACCACTGTAATTCTGTTTCTTTGTGCTCTTGTGATTTGTGTAATTGCTTTGCAAGTTGTAGAATTTTTTCCTCACCTGTCATGATAATGGGCCTACCACCTGGATTCTTGGTGGGCCTTTCCAATTCTAGACAATTTTTTTTCTTTTCCTTTTCTTTGGTGGTACTGGGGTTTGAACTCAGGGCTTTGTGCTTGCAAA